TATTGAACTTATGCAAATAACTGTATTGTCAGAAATTAAAAATACTTACAAATGGCTTGTACATTCTGGAGAAATCAAGGAGAGAGAAAAAATACATGTTTTAAATTCTGCTCCTAAGTACATACATTGTTTGAAAAGCTACAAATAGCTCAAAAGACAGAAAATGGTTTTCTTAAGTTCTGGAAAACAGAACACCGAAAGAATCAACAATATTTCAAACAGAAAGCCATAACAAACTAGCCCAGTTTCACGTAACTGATTTCTGCTCTGTTTGAAGTTAGGTTAGCAATACTCATAGACATGTTAACTTTCCAATGAAAGTTCCAAAAATCTGCTTTTAGTCCTAAGGTAGTCAATTTCCAAAGACATCATGAATTTGAATTCGAGAGAATTCGTCAGCCTCTCTTAGTATTTCTTTTTGTTTTTAGGATAAACTTTGGACTCAGTCAGTTACATAAAAACACTTTCTTTTTTTAAATGAACTAAAATTATTGCCAACAATATATATTAGGACAGACCAATGCTTTATAGGTGAGGACAGACCAATGCTTTATAATATTGGAACATATATATATATATATATATAAAACCATACAAAATTAATCACCATTTCATATTTGACAATGTTTCCTATACATTTTTAATAAATCAAATAAGTTTAATTTGTTTTCCTATGACTTTCAGTGGTCTTAATGTTTTAAGAAGACCAAATTTAGAGTTGTGTCTTTTTGGGTTTTTTTGGTTGTTGTTTTTGTTGTTGGCCCGGGCCAAATTTGAACCTGCCAGTCTCAGTGCATGTGGCCAGCACTGCAACTGCTGCACTATGGGCGCCAAGCCCCAAATTTAGAGTTTTGATTTTGGAAGGTTTGTCAAATATCAAAGGCCTAAAACATTGGTACAAATAAGATTATAAGCCGAAAGATTTTAAAGGAAATACACAGTCAACTGGATCACATGTAAATTCTTTCACAAATCCTCTTTTATGAGCTTCATTTAACCTGCACAGACAATCTACAAACATTCTAAACCTCCTTTAACTTTTGCCCTGCCTTTCACTTTCTTACACAATCATTCTGTTTCAGGACAAAATTTATCACACAAGATTCTTTCTTTACACAATGCCATTCTCCTTTCTGTCTAATTTCTCTTACTCTCAAAAACTCCCACTTTCCACAAAACAGTATCTCAGGTCACTATGAAGTCACCTATTCACTCGGCCAAACTGATAATTAGAAGGTTTAAAAAGCAAGAATCTTATCCTTTCACACAGACTCAGTTTCCCCAACAGTTTAAACAACCAAATTATTCCATTTTACAAATGAGAGACATTTTATCAGATATAACATTGATACAGGATTTTCCCACTCAGGGCTGGACAGGTAACCCCCATTTTTCAGGCTCAAATGAGCTCAGACATCAGACTCCCGTCTCCAGGTACAAACCCTCTAAGCCCCAGCAAGGTCAAGAACAAAACAAACAGAAACCTTTTGGATGGCTCCACCCTGATTAAGGAGTACACACCCTAATCCTCTCCCCAGGCAAAAACTGCAGCAAAGACCTAATAACCTTGTCCAAGGTGAGAGGCTGCATTCATTCATTTGCTAGAACACCCATTCAGTTTGTAAAGGTATTTTTCCAACTACCAAGTCCTGGCCGAACTATCTCTCAGGGCCAATTATTTACCCCTAGACAAAAGACTCAAGCAGGAAACCTCCAACCTGGGCCTCCTCCCCTCTTCCAGAGGCTGTTCACTTTGGAGACCTGCCCCATCCAGCAGGAGATTTACACTCTCTCCCCCAGATTTTCAAGGGCCATCCAGAGCTCACCGGACTGCCGAAACCGCAACACTTTCCAAGGCATAGCCCCCCTGCCAATAGCTCTGGCACTCTCCACTCCCTCTGCATGCCCCTCAGTCCAACAAAATCCCATTTTATCACGGGCTTATTTCTCAAATTCCTGAGACCAAAGCCTCACTGAAGAAATTCCAGTAACAAAACTACAACATCCTTTCTAATGTCTTTTCATTTTCCCACAAGACCCACACGACCACCGCCAAAGACAGAAATCGGGAAAAACCTGGAACTTTGTTTCTCTCAGAATAGCCAGGGGGCAAAGGTGGAGCAGGGAAGAAGGGCACACTCACACATTCGCTTCACCCCATGAATAGAGAGGGGGCATGAAACCCCACCTATTGTCACCCATCTCAGTCACTCTCCAAACACTCACATGCACACAACTCCAACCCATTTCTTAACCTGGGCAGCCTTGATTTCCCACTTGCACTGCCACTTAGCCATAGGAAGCAAACCAACACTCCCCTAGGCCCTGTGAAGGGGGGGTCCAACTCTACCCTCAGAGTCACACCTCTCAACAGACTTGCCAGCAATCTAATGCTCAAGGAGTTGATCAGGCTCCTTCTTCCACTAAAACTGCAGTGGGAGCCCCAGATTGATCTTACCTTGCCTTAGATGTCTCCCTGGATAGGTACCTGTTCCTGCAAGCCAGTTCCTCCCGGTGTTTGACTCCTTGAAGACCCTCCATCCGGGTCCTTTCTCACCTCGGGGTCCTTTCCACCCAGTCCAGGCACCTACACAGGGAGGCCTAACTGCCTCCCTGGCAAGCTCAGGGGTTCACATCCCCAGGCCTATCAGGGGCCCCCACGTGGGTGTCCAGAGGATTGTGGGCAACTATCACCTGCATGTTCTTTCCAAGGGTGATCTCGCTTCCCAGTTAGGGAACCAAAAATATTGCAGGAAGATGAGGCCCAACAGAGAAAGAGCACCCAAACACCACCTCTATAAAAGGGCTTTATTCACCAGCCAGAAGCCTACTGCATAGAATTCCCAACGGCCACGCTCCAGACTGGCTTGGTCTTTCCCTTCTTATTCACAGTCAAAAAGTTCCACCCCACAGGTACTCTTTTCATTGGCCAGTTTGAATCAGGTGGGAGATAACTATTCCAGCTCCTACAGAACTACAGGATTTCACAGAACTTGGAAATTTCCAAGTTCCAGGAAGTTTACAAATTCCCAAGAGCTGAGTCACCATGGAGAGGACCCTGCAGGTGTATCCTTATGGTCTCCTTGAGAAGACTTGTTCTAGACCTCAACCTTCTCCCGGAGCCTCTCTCACCTACAAAAATTAGTTCCTCTAGAGATGGCACAACCTGGTCAGCAAGTTGCAGTTGCCTGTTAACAAATGTAGCCGGTAAGGACAGCCAGGCTTGGTTCTAAATTCTTTCTAAAGGGAGAATATACTGAGCGCTTTATAATCACAGGCGAGGAAACAAATGACTGCGTAGCTAGGTTGGCAACACATAACCTATTTTTATGGGGGATTCTGTTCTGCCTTTGGGCCAGGCTCATAGGGCAGAGTCCCGGCCCAACACCTACCCCGGGGCCAAACGCAGCAGGGGCTAACGGGATGCACCCGGATCCCACCTTCCCCAGTCGCTCCCCGCCTGGGTAGTCGGATGGAGTTCCGCGCCAGGGCCCCGCCTCACCTTCACGGGCGGAGGCGGCCCAGGGAGACCCTCCAGGGCCCCCTTCACACCCAGCGCAGCCGCCGCCCCGACCTCAGCGATGAGGTTATGGCCGCAGGCGTGGCCGATGCCCGGCAGCGCGTCATACTCGCAGAGGAAGGCCAGGTGCAGCTGGCCCGGCGCGGCGCTCGGCGCCCGTCCCCTCAGCGGCTCCCACTCGGCGCGGAAGGCCGTGGGCAGCCGGTAGTGCGGTTGCACCGTCCAGGACGCGGCTGGCAGCTCCTGCTTGAAGAAGCGTGTCAGCATGCGGTGGGCATGGTGCTCCTCGTAGGCCAGCTCGGGTTCGCTCCAGATGGCGCGGCTCAGAGCCCCCAGCCGCTCGGCCGCCTCGTCGATGCGCTCCGCGGCGCGCAGCTTCAGCAGCTCCAGCTGGGAGACCCCTTGGTACCCGCCCGCCTGCACCGGCCGCTCTTCCCCCGGCCCCATGCTATCCAGAGTGGGAGACTGCTAGCTCCGTCGCAGCTGGCTCTCTGCCAGCAGCTCCCCGCGCCTGCGTACAAGGCCTCCGGAAACCTGCTCCAGGAACACGCCCGGGGCCGGGCAGGTGCTCCGCCCCAGGGTGGGGCGCCGCAAAGAAGGCGGTGCCGGGCAACGGGTCTGTCTGCTGTCCGCTTGGCTCCGCTGCGAATAAAAAAAGAAAAATTAAAAATTAAAGAATTATGTTCTAAAATCACTATCACTTTTTTACTGTTGCTTATTTCCCACAGCAGCAGAATGAGAAAGGCTTTATTGGTTAACAACCGTCAGAGACAGGCCAAGTGAAACACAGAACTGAAAAACGCCGCTCTCTTTTCTAGTGATATGGGTTAAAAATTGTACTAGGTTTTCAGGTCCTGAACGAGGACGTCTGAAATACTGTACAAAGAGCTCTGGTATGTGCACCCATTTTCGGTCCCTCCCCGCCCCTTTCTCCCTGTCCTTGTATTATCCAAAAGCTCGGCAGTTTTCTCATTGGAATTTACTGATGTCCAGAACAGCACCTGAGTTACAGAGGAATCTCTCAGTATGTGTGAGCTACTATATCATAGTCTATCTGAATGGAGTCGAGCTAAGAATTTGAACATACACCGAGGCGGGCGGGTTCGAGACCAGGCGGGGCCTGCCAAACAACAATAACAACTACAACCAAAAAATAATAATAAAAAAAAATAACCGGGAGTCATGGCGGGTACCTGTAGTCCCAGCTACTTGGGAGGCTGAGAATCGCTTAAGCCCAGGAGTTGGAGGTTGCTGTGAGCTGTGATGCCACGGCACTCTACCCAGGGTGACAGCTTGAGACTCTGTCTCAAAAAAAAAAAAAAAAAAAATTGAAAGGAGTTTAAAAATAAGACGAAAGTGTTAAACAAAAGATATATGGTAATAAATTTTCAGACTATTTTGTTAATTTCAGCAGTTGTTTTGAATAGTAAGGGCTTTGAAAGGGAACACTTGACTAGTTTCATTTACAATTTTAATTGACACTAAACTCAAGTAACATGATCTGTCCAGCTGGTGTTCACATTATAACTGGGTTTTAAATTACCCCGTAGAAGAACTTCCAGGTTTCATGCTCTTGTTTATCTCCTGAGTGAAGCATGTGTTTGAAAAACTGGTTGGTGATACGCCTGTTTCCACTGCAAAGGTTTATAATCTCAGGTTTCCCACATACGAGCCAAAAGCTTTCATCAGGTTTTCATACACTACTATCTCTTTCCTTTATTTGTAACAACTAGGTTAAGGGGGACAATATGCTCATATAATAAGCCAAATGTAATTTTTGAAAATAAGTCTAAAGGAAGACAACATGTTATTAGACTGGCAACCACGGTTCTACTATACATGCTGAAAACAGCAGGAGAATGTCACATTGTCATTTGGAAACACTACCTTCTCAACACCCTAATTGAAACTCCACTGTAAAGGCAACAAATATGTTCTTAAATTAAACTGGCTGTACTTAATAAACCCTACTCTGGTATTCTGGCAAAAATTCCCTTCTGTAACCATGAGATTCAATATTACCATGCTCGGTGGCTGGGGAAAAAAGAGCCTAATGGAGCAAAAACAAGGGGTGAGATTCACAGAGCACTTTGTGCCCAGAGCTGTTCCAAGTACTTAAATATCAACTCATTTAAGCCTCACAGCAAAGTAGGAGGTTGTTAATGTAACATTAATAATGTTACTTATCTTCCCTTTACAGATGCATGTGGAAGACCACACATGCACACACACACACACACACATAGCAGGTGGGTACAGAAGCGGGTCTGGCTGCAGCAGTTACTCTCAGTCACCATGCTCTACTGCTGTGTAACAGACATCCATATTTGTAAGTGCATCTACAACTCATCTATTCATACTAGAGCCCACAAGGACAACTCATTTTGGATAAACTTTACTGCAGCAACTCTGCCGTCTGACATCAGCAAACCCGTGTTTGCTCTCATCAGACAGCAATAAACATCAGCAGAAAAGGAATACATATACAGATTGTAAGCTGGTCATGACAGTATGTGCCTGTAGTCCAACTATTTAGAAGGCTGGGAAGGACCACTTGAGCCCAGAAGTTTGAGGCCATCCTGGGAAACATCATGAGACTTTCAGCTATTAAAAAAAAAATAATAATAAAAGAGTTTTTGTACAAGCTGCTATTTATATTGCTTGTTATTCATTAACAAAGCTGTCACTCGAGGTGAAGGAAAGATAGATTTATTTCAATCTCTGCTGCTTCTGGTATACGTGTGTGTGTGTGTGTGTGTGTGTGTGTGTGTGCGTGCCAGTACTGGAGCGTATGTATGTATTAGATTTCTGCTGTTGACACCTTATAGTTCTTATTTATGGTATTTGGCACCCTTGAATTCATTTATTTATTAAATTCTGAAGGCTAGGTGTGGTGGCTCACTGTAATCCTAGCACTCTGGGAGGCCAAGGTGGGCCTTGGTGGGAGGATTGCTTGAGCCTAGGAGTTGGAGATGGCCTGACTCTGATCTTAAAAACAATAGAATAATTAGCCAGGCTTGGTGGCTCACACCTGTAGTCCCAGGTACTAGGGAGGCTGAGGTAGGATGCTCCCTTGAGCCCATGAGTGTGAGGTTGCTATGAGCTATAATGACACCATAGCATTCTAGCCTGGTGATAGAGTTTTACTGAATGCTGTGTTTAGGGGAGAGGGACGCATGGAGAAAAGGAGGAAAGATAACAGGTATTAGTGTTAACAGCTGAGTGCATGGGAGTAAGTGGCTGGGTGTGTGTTAGACACTGGGTGTGGGGGGGTGCTACCCTACAGGATACCAGCTAGGGCGCTAAAGAAGGTGCATGCATATGTATTCACTGTGCATAATGGTTATACTGACAGGAGAAGTAAATCATTGAAGGATCGAGTGACTTGGAAGGGGAAAATTTAAGCTGGGAAAGCAGCCCTAGAAAACAATAACTAAGGGGATGAGCAAAAATGTGAAGTGAAGTGCTTCGAAGGTCTGGTATTCATTTATCTCTTGAGCAGCATGTACTTTATCATAATAAACTATATCTCCAGGTGACGCCTGTGGCTCAAAGGGGTAGGGCGCCAGCCCCATATGTCAGAGGTGGTGGGTTCAAACCCAGCCCTGGCCAAAAAAAAAAAAAAAAAAAAATTCTCTGATTAAAAACTATATCTCCAAATTTTTAGGCCAGATGTAGTCTAAAATCAAAAAGTACACACCTAGAAACTAGAAGATAGAAGAGGATGCAGGGAGCAAACTAGGAATTTCCAAGAAAATGCACTAGAGGGCAGCACCAGTGGCTCAAAAGGGTAGGGCGCTGAGCCCATATGCCGGAGGTGGCGGGTTCAAACCCAGCCCCGGCCAAAAACAGCAAATAATAATAATAATAATAATAATAAAATAAAAATAAATTAAAAAAAAGAAAATGCACTAGACAAACATTAATACAATTACTGTGTCTCCAAAGTCTTCCGCATAAAGCACCTTTCCCCTCTGCCTTTGCTACAAGATGAGGGACTGAGAAGGAAGTAAGAGATACTGGTAGAAACTTCTGCTGATCAGAAGATAGGAAAGCCAAATTAAGTCCTTCTTACTAGTTAACATTTTTAAAATATTTACTTTTTGTAAATATAACACAAAATAAGCCTCAAACAGTTGGATAAATTGAAACTGGCACAATGCTAGAACATTTAATGGCTGGAAAGGAGTGCCAGCAAGAGTCTCAAAGCCAGCAAAATGCTGTCCATATTTCTCCCACAGCATCGTGATTTCCAGGTTAAAAGGTCGTGGGGGACCCTAATCAACTATAAGGATAGTTTCTAGCTTGGTTGAAGTAATAGCTGAGGACATTGAAATATTAGCGGTTATGATAACAAATTTTATGCAAGTCTGCACTTTAAAAACAGGCCTCTAAACTGTGTATCCTGTGTTAATGTAGCCAAAAGGCCCAGGGAGCTCATCCAGGCCATGGCACTAGCTGTGTCTCCTCCCAAGATTCAGGTTCTTTTTTCACTTTGATTTAGCTGATCCTGGATGGGGAGAAGAAGTGACAGGTGCAGTCGATTCTGGTTATTTCTTCCCATCTCCCTCCTCCCTTTTGCTCTTTTATTTTCTTTTTAAATGCCATTTTCTTTAGTTCTGATTTGTCTGTGTAAAACATTATAAAAATTTCCTGGGCAGTGCCTGTGGCTCAACGAGTGGGGTGCTGGCCCCATATACCAAAGGGAGCGGGTTCAAACCCAGCCCCGGCCAAATTGCAACAACAACAAAAAATAGCCAGGCGTTGTGGTGGGCGGCCGTAGTCCCAGCTACTTGGGAGGCTGAGGCAAGAGAATCGCCTAAGCCCAAGAGCTGGAGGTTGCTGTGAGCTGTGTGATGCCATAGCACTCTTACCAAGGGCAATAAAGTGAGACTCTATCTCAAAAAAAAAAAAAATTCCTAATCTGCAAAATGGAGATAATGGTATCCATACAGCAAATTCACCAGTAGGTTGTTGGGAAAATTAAATAAAGTCATGTATGTAAACATTGCAAATAGCAGTGCCTGACATGTTCATGTACTTGCTCCAAAGTATTAGCCATTATTATTAGTATTATAAGTATTATTCTTTTAAATACTCTCACCATAAAAATTGAAAAAGCCCATAAAATACAAACATAATAAAATTCATATTTGAGTTACGACTGCATTCACACAACTACTGCTCTGAAGTAACAATCACTAACACCTGGGTGTGTGTGTGTCCATGCTCCCCCTTCCCAGTGCCGGCCCACTGCTCTTCCTCTCTCCACATGTCTGTGTGCACATATGCCTGCATGGATGCAACGAATACAATCTGTTTATGACTGGGCCCTTTAAAAATGTAATTATTATGGATATGTTGTGCCCAGATCACGATGTCCCCAAGAACCACCAAGGAGCCAAGGTCTGATGCAAAAGCAGGAGAGTTTTATTCAAGCTCTCGAGCCTGGGCCTCCAGTATACTGGCACAGCGAGATAGGGCTGAAGGCCCCTGTTCTAAGGGAGAGGAGGCTTTTATGGGTGAGGGGAAGGGAAAAGGAAGTGACCTTTATGTGAGGTCATGCACCTTTCTGATTGGTAGGGGGAAGCCTCCTGACTTCTGAGAACTTGAAACTTAACTTCAAGGAAACCGAAACTTAA